TAATCGCAGAATAGGAGAGCTTTATGTGTGATAGGTGGAAGAGGGTACAATATCTAATCTAATCTAAATGGTGTAAATTTATTAAATATTTTTAAATCCCAAGTACTTTAATGAAATTTACGCGTCGTGAATCTTGAAGTGTTTAGTACAGCCATTAATCGCTTGAAATAGAAATATCGATTTCAAGCACGATCTATAGCAACTAGCTCAAGAGACTTTATACGAAATATATACACCAATACAAAAATTTAAAAATACTCGCCACGTGCCGCACTAATTTCAATTGAGCACTAAACATGGATTACATATTCTTCTTACTCTAATACCTATATAAGTATTTTAAATTTATTAAATTAAGGCTAAGATTTCTTTAATTGAATGGCTTATATTTTAAATAAGGTACAGCAAAATATAATATGCCCGGCACCATAACAACATAAAGGTTGACCAATTCTGTATATTAATATAAATGATTATGTCTGTTAATAAACACACATTTTGTGTTTTTATACTATATGGGCACTTAATAAAAATGCCGGTGTTCAGTTTGCATATTTTCAAGTTCAAATTTTGATCATTCAAAATAAAATTTATTTATTGATTTGTTTTTTTTTTTTGAAAATTTGAAATTTTTTGTTAGTTTTCAACTGCGCATGTTATACGTATATACATATGCATATTATGCCTTTAGATATGCATCTAAATTTTTATATAAGCATGGCGCATATTTATGCACATATTTCGAAAAAAAAATATATATATTGATATTTAATTAATAATAAATCCATTGAACCTAAAACAGTTAACATTACTTTCGATCTTAAATCTGATAACAATTATTTTTTATTTTTTTTTTTAGTTTATTCACTTAAATATTAATTTAATGACATTTTAATTATCATAATTAATTAGAAATTTTTAAAAATGTAATAGTCACTTAATTTTCAACATCATATGAATTCATGCAGAAGAAAATTCAACCTTTGTATACGAAATAACAATTACATAAAAAAATATAACAATTTTTTACTATGTTTGTACTTATGAGATAAGAAACTTTTGTTTTGCTGTATTAAAAAGAAAATTAGCACCTAATTTATAAAAAGAAATTCTGAAGAAGGACAAACTTTCATTTTTATAACGTCTGTACATGAATATATAAAATGCATCCAGAGTCCTTTCAGTGATTATAAATTTAATTTCTTCTTATCTAAAGTCGAAGTTCCGGAGGACCTGGTTTCGTAATCGAATGTTATATTTTTTTTGAGATTTTATATCGTACATATAGTGGGGTAATACCGGATTAGAAATACTTCCTACTTTTCGAAATTTAAAAATTAAATCCGATAAAGGATCCGTTATATCTCAAAAATATCATTAATAATTCTTAACTCTTCTGTATAATCTCTGATTGACATTAATTAACCTTAATTAGCTCAAATAATTCAAATAGCTTGTAGAAGCTTGAGTTACTTAAAAGATTTAGGATTTTAAAGGTTGTATAAAATGATATTTGTAATGGCTCCTTTCATCATTAAGTATTAATATCATTTATACAAATTTCTTGTTTCAGCCTAGATATTCCATGTTATCGACATGTATGAATCGATTGTGAGGAGTGTATGTTGTTGGAGAGAAAATTTAAATAAATATTCTAGTCAGAAAATTATAATCCAATTATATCGTCATCGGTTTAAGATATTTCCATCGAATATTCTCAATATTTTCGCTTACTTTCTTCTCATTTGATAAGTAAAAATTTAGATACTACATATATGTACATGAGGCCCTAAATAAACACTATATATTTCATTGAATTCATTAATATTAATAGTCAAAATTATCGAAAGGGTATTGACTCGTCCATGAAACATATACAATATAATTATTAATTTATTAAAAAGTAAATCAAAAATTTAATATAAAACTCAAATAAAAACTATTAAAAAAAATATTGAGAAAAAATAATAAAAATATATTTTTTAATATTTTTTTTTTTTATTGAATTTTTAATAACTTTTAAATTTTTAATATTTGTTTTTACATGCTTAATCCTCAAATTTTGATTGACAAATATTATCATATTAATGCAGTTTAATTGATTAATAAATTTCAAAATCAAAATTTTATATAACATTAATGAATATTTAAAAAAATATAAATACATATATATTACAGGGATGGTCAAACTGTTTGAGTCAGAGCCATTTTTTCAAAATTTGAAATTTATCGAAAGCCTCAATCAAAACTGTTTTTATTAGTTAATAGTTAACTTATTCAAAATTCCATATAAAAAAAATTATATCTGTATCAAGAATGATACAGAATTCTTTGCTTCAAAGCTAAATGTCACTGTCGATTGAAATGAAATTTTACAATTCTAAAAAATGTCTGAAATCCAATCGATTACAGTCGATTACACCCCATTATTCGCCTTCAGTTTTCGAAAAGCTTTGTCATTCTTCACTTGCACGGGAAAAAAATTTGTTATATAACATTTGTTGAAACACATACGGAACGATAATAATTTTCTAAAATAATAACACAAAAATGAGAAGGAAATCCTCGATTACATTTATCAAGAGCTACGAAAAATTCTTCAAAGACCCGAATATGACTGGCGAGCCGTAGTTTTGGCCAACCCTATTATATAAAATGTTATACACCTTTATACATAAAATTATATGCATAAACGTCTATTAATATTTCTTTTTTAAAGTGTGCTCCTTATTTATGTTTATTTTAATTTAATTAATATTTTAATATATAATATTCACAAATTTATTATATCTTAAAAATCCATATATAATATAATTAAAAAAAAAAATCTTTTATTAATTCCAATCAACACTTTATGAATTAAAATTTTATTTTATTTTCCATTTTTTTTTTTGTTCTTCGGAAATTCAAATCAATATCATTGATAAAATAGAAACTTTTATTGTAAAAATTTCAATGTTTTAAAAATTGTTTTGTTTTTATTGTTCATTATATTATACCCGCACTTTAATATCTTTCATCTTTGACTAGATATCGTGAATGGTGTCTTATACATGACTCTTAAGATTGCATTTATAAATTATTAATAGATCAATTAATTAAATTATTTTGTGACATCTATAAAGTAATCAAAGAAAAAAAAAATTAGTTATTTATCAAAATTTTTTATTCTTTGTTTTTCTCTCTAATTTTTAGGCTCATTTTTATTTTATCAAAAAAAAAAAAAATTTTTTTTTTTTCATATGTTTTATTTTTAATTGAAATTAAAATGGCAATGAACTAAATTTCAAATATATACACATGTCTACATAATTTATAAAACGTCATATAATTGTTATTGTATTGTTATTGTTGTTTGTTTGTTTTAATTCTCTCACATACGTTTGTTAATTTTCTCGAATTTTCACCTAAAATAAGAAACAACAAATCCGCTCCGGCCGCTCACGAGACAAAACTTTACTCAGTTTTTTTACTAAATTAACTGAGTTAAAATTTAATTAGGTCTCGTGAAGTGATCATATTTTTAGTTTAAAATTTATTTCGTTTTAAAACAAAGAATTTTCACTTATTTGACCTACATAATTATTCGATATGTAGGTACTTAATATAATATGTACAATATACATAAACATTGATTACAAAACATTGATTTCCGACAATAAGCTTTAAAACTTGCTCTCTAAACTTAAAAACGCTTTAAAACTTAGTATGTGCACTTGCTTCCTCACAAATAAACTATTGTTCATAAAAACTACATAAATGCCTTCATTTATTTATTAATTTAGATAGATATAGGTATACTTATCATTTTATTATGTTTATTTGTAGCTCAAAATTTTATGCTTAGCTGAGAATTACTAAATTTCGCTAAAGATGAAACCTCAGTGAATTCAATCCGAATATCATTAATAATTACTATTTTTTATAATTTTCAACTATGGAATGATTCTATAATTGTCAATTTTAATATAAATATTTGGCATAATTAAATTTAAATTCATCTAGGCTCATCATTTCATATTTTACTCATTTACTATATCAAAAGTATTGTGAATAAGGATTGAAATTTAAATTACAGGAAAGTGCTAGTGTTGAAAGTAACACGCTACTAATGATAAGTAAAAGTTCTACTATTAATTTTGTCAATATCTAGACGCACAAATCAAACTTTAAAATTAAAAATAGTTTTTAATGCGTAATTTTCGTATTTAATTTTACAAAATGAGAAATTAAAATATTTAAAATAATTAGAAAAAAATTTATTTTTGTCTTGAATTTATAACTTTGAATAGATGAAGGTACACAATTAATTTTGTTTAAATATATATTGTCTTTCACTTCTATTTTAACCTATTTCAAAATGGTCTTTTAAAACTTAACTTTTTTCCAAAAAATCTCAACATCAGAAATTTGTGAATATGAAAATTTTATACAAAATTGAATAGAAAGTCTTGGAATCGTTTGAAATTTTTAAATTTGTATGAATATTTGTGTTACTTTAAATAATTGTTCTTCTATATTAAAATATGTGGAATATTCTAGAAGATCTAGCAGCACATAGCAGCTCATTGCCAAACCCTCATATCAATCCCTGTAACACAATATTAAAATTTAAACACAATTTATTTAATTTATCAAAAATAAAGTTTATATATTTTAAATTTTATTACTTTCATTCTTAAACATATAAAAACAATATTAAAAATATTAACAACAATTATATAAAAAAAAAATAGAATGATACAAATATATTTTGATTCTTAATATTTTAAAAAAAAATGTATGTGAAAAAGGAAAAAAATACTAGGCATAGAAAGAACAGTTATAACTCTTATACTGTCCTTTCCATCTCTTAAATACAAATAAATTTTTTTTTATTCTAATTTTACATCACAAGTACTAATTTCATTCATAAATTTCTATATACACTAAAATTAGAGCTTGTCATTTTAATTTTTTAATGAATTTTTTTTTTTTGTTTTTTTTTTTGCATATTTTTATAATACTTGACTACAAGAAAAAATATTCTTTTTTATAGAAAAAAAGAAAATATTTTTCTCCTCCATATACTTAGGATTCAATTTAAACTAATAAAAAAAAAAAAATAAATTTTTAAATTCTTCTTTTAAATAATTGTGGTTGAGATTCGGGTGATGGATGTGTACGAATATATTCTAAAGCACGTAAAACATGTTCTGGAATTGGTGGTGGTGTTGGTAAATGTGGTCCAGTTGGATGAAAACCAGATTCATCAGCTGAATATTGTAATTGTATTAATTCACCTTCTGGTGAATAATAAGCAAAACTTCCTTGTGCATATTCACCACCAGTACCTTGTTCTTGTCCAGCAATACCATTTGATGTTTGATATTCATATGCATATGTACCATCACCATTTACAATATTTTGTAATTTTGTTGTTATAGCAGCATGATCTTGAGCGGTAGCATAACCCAAAATTACAATAAGTGCAACCTGTAAATTGGAAATAAATTTAATTTTTTAAATCTAATATAAATTTTGGAATTAATTTTAATTGAAATATTTTAATTATCCTTTTTATATAAAATGGTATCCAAAATAAGTAGAAATTATTAGAATTATTAAATAAGAATAATTGATTATTAATGAAATATTTTATTAAAAATTATCAAAATTTTATAAAATTTAGAACTCGAAATTGTAGCAATATACAATAAAATTTTTTTATTATATATTAATTTCCTCTTAAGTAAATATGTTCTTAAAACATCACTGATTTGGATTGATTCTTAAATGATTCTGTCAAAAATTATTCAACACTTGTATTTTACTTGTAGTTGTTCGTAAATTGCAGTATACTCTACTGCAAATTTACTAAAATTTAGAACATTATTCTCTTATATGTTATATTTAATTCTTTTATACTTAATTGAAAAATAGTTCAAAATTTTCATTAACCAACTTAAATAATTAAGATTTAGACCAATTGAATTTTATATTTTAATTTTAAGTATTATTTTCTTATTGTTCTCTATGAATTTCTAACTTTTTTTATATTCAAAATTTTTCAAATTTTATTCAACAAAATTTAAAAATATTTTTTCATGTATAACAAATTCTAAAGCACTTACAAATCTGAACATTTTTATCAAAATTTTTAATTAAATTTTTTAGTTTAAAAAATTAAAATATAATTTTTTTTTTTAATTATTGTTTACTATACAAAGTTAAACACTTAACTGAATGATTATTCTCTGAGATTTTTCGTTTTTATATCAAAAAAAAAATTCATCCAATATAGACGATAATAAAAATTTTAGTTATTTTACTATATTTTTCTATATATGTAATCGTATAGGTTTAGCCAAAAAATCTCATTTTCAAAATTATATTAGTACAAAATATAAGGTTATTTTGCATGTATGTATGAATTGTGTGTGTACTTTATACCTATATGGTATAACATTTTTAAAAGAAATCACACCTTTAGCATAAAATAAAAGACGTATAAAAAATTTTTTTTCTTATACAACATACTTTTAACCACGTTTGTGTGTATGCATGTACATATAAATATTGAAGAAAAAATTTGGTGGTCAAGACGATAATGAACGATGAGATGAATTGCATAATTTCTAATATCTTATCTCTTGTATATTCTTTATAATATTTTGAATTTCGCATTTTGCAATATTTACATACAAACAAACTTTATATAGTACATATAAAATCTGTATACATATTTGAAAAGTTTTGTTATATTTCTAAATTTTTAGACCAAAAAATATTTTTTTTGAATATTTCTTCGTAAGTTACTTTTAGTCTTTTGTTTTCCATTTCTACATTTTGATATCATATGTTATAGTATGCACACATTCAAGTGATATAGCGAATATCTAAAATATTTACTTACATATTATATACCATAAATCATTATATGAAAAAGAGATGAAAGAAGTAATGAAATGAATTACCAAAAAATTAAATAATACTCCGATTATTTATTATAATTTTTATTCATACATATATAATAAGACATACAAGAATTATAAATTTATATTATAGGATTTGATATGCAATACATTTTGGAAATGATTAATATTATTAAAACTATCCAGAAAATATAATAAAATAAGAGGACATTAATATGATTTTCTTAATAAAATGTTAAAAATTTATTCTAAAATTAATTAAATCATCATTATTATATAAGTTTTAAATTTTTATTTTAGTTTCTTATTACCAATTTAAGCATGAATTTTTATTATAAATCAAAATAATTCGGAAAAATTGCAAATATACATACGTAATTAAAACGTTAATCATTCAATATGAGTTTTAAAATTTAAAATTCATAAATTCATAAGAAAGGTACGTACATATATGTATGTTTAATCATGAATGTAAAAGCATCAGCAATAAGATCTTATTATTTTTTAGTTCCACATTCAATACTTCTCATATGCATATAAGAAAAATACAATAAAATTGGGATATTTATAATGAATTGTTCTAGAATGCATATCAAAGTGATATATTACAGAATAAAGAGGGTGAATTATATCGTAGAATAAGGAAAAATAATTTCAAAATTTCGTATATAAACATCTAAAATATATTTTTTCTACATATTGTTAATAATATTGTTATCATTCATTCATACAATATAAATTCGGAGTAAAATTCGGAATTGCAATTGAATTCGTAGTGGTAGTCAGAACTGGAATCAAAGTTGAAATTAGATTCGAAGTGCTAGACCAAATCAAAATTGGTGTAGTCAGAATCGGAATTAGAATTAAAGTTAAAATCTAGGAATTCGATTTTTAATGATTTTTTTATTTTTATAGTTTGGTTGGTTAAAAAGATGCGTTTTTTTCGGAGTAAATTAAAAAAATTAAAAAGTTTTTGAGTCAAAACTGAATTAATTTACTGTAATAGGCAGAAGGAATCAGAGTCAGGAATATTCTTGTTGAAAAATTCAACAATTCAATTAAAAAATTTCAAATCTGTATTAAACTCGAAATTGCAAAATTTTTAGAAAAGTTCCAGGGCCTTCCTGTTCCATTAAATGATTTTATTATTAAACATGCCAAAATTAACATACATAAAATATTTTTTTCTTAAAAACACAAAATTTTATCAACATTTTTTCAATATTCAACAATTACTCTTCAATAAGAAAAAAAAAACGATCAAAAGGAAAACAAAAAATTAGCTCTATTGGTTGAAAAAAAATTTAATTTACATTTTAGTACTTTTAAAAAAATTGTACCAAATAAAAGAATAAAAAAAAAAACAGAAATAATTTTTGAAGGTAGATTGACATTATAAATTGTCATTGATATTGAAATAACTCGTAAATTGATGAGCTTTCCGACTTTACCAATAAAACTAATAAAAATGTTAAATTTTAAAAAATACTAAAACAAAAACAAAAAAAAAATAATTGAAAGGTGTTAAAAGTAAACATGTTAAATTAAATTAAGAAAAAAAAAACCAAAGAAGAATTATGCTTTTTTAACATAATAAAAATTAAAATTTACTACATTACGTAACAATATGTTTAAATTAAGTGTGTCTATCTATGTATACCATATGGATTTAGGCTTACCTTATTGTGATTATTTTTGATTAAATTACAAAAAATATTTAGAGTATAACCAAAGAAAATACTAATGTCTAGTACACACATATATAAATAATTTAAATAAACACCTACAAAAAACTTATAATATTAGGCAAAAATATACTATAATTAACACAAATGACAAAAAATCATATTTAGGGCAATTTTATACCTAAATGAACTTAACATATTTTTTTTTATAAATATTTCTGTATTGAATTTTGAGTATACATAATTAAATTTTTGGTTTTATAAGTAACTTTAGAACTGCTTATATGTAGATATTATTATATTTAAAAATTATTGTAAAATACATACTCTGAATCAATCTAAATAAATTAAATAGACACCAATATTCTGGTAGTAGTAATTCTGGTAGTAGAAATGATACTACTACGTCTATGAATTATTATAGTAGTCGAAGACGTATAATAACTTTGACGTGATGTCATAGATGTCAAAATCATCACATGTACTATTTCTGTAAACTTTCCATACAACGTGATAGTAATTTTATATCAGCTCAATATTTGCATTCGATAGGCCCATGAAGATTTTTTTTATTTTACACAACAAAATTTATATCAAATACAAGTAATTTGGATTTTAATAAAATTAACATAGTAGACAATACCGCCAATATAGCCAAAGATTTTTCGGGATACTTAAGGAAATATTGGTAAGCGCTCAAAATATTATTTATTACTCTAAAACTTTGTTTTTATTTAAATGCACATAATCAAAATATTTTTCGTATCATTCTATTTTAAATTTTTTTTGTGACATTACGTTAATTAACAGTTAGTTAATGCTAAAAATCTTAAAATATTTCTGATCTTAAGACACGATTATCAGAGAGGCATTTTTGACATTTTCAAATTTTATCAGAAATTTGGAAATAGAATAATAGCTTTTTTCTTCACATGCTAAATCCTAAAAAATTTCGCATAACAGTCAGAATTATTTTCATGCATAGTGCAAATTACTGCCAATTTACATGACGATTCGTTTTACCTTTTGCTGTTAGTACTTTCTTACATCAGAATTTGAAGTTTCTCGGTTAATTAAAACACGCACTATTTTCTCTTTCAAAAAATGCAATCAAAAGTAACAGTTTGTTAGTAGATTAGAATTAATCCCAAGTTGCAAAAAGATTTTTCTAAAACATCGATAACATATTGATTCTCATATAAGATAACCGTATCGAAAATAATCAAAATTTTATGAAATTTAAAGAAATAATCATGAATATTTTTAAAATAAAATTTCGTATGTGTATACATATGAAAAATTTTTTAGCTTTAATTTCTTAACACAAAAAAATTACCAGATTTTTAACTTCCCTACGTATTTATTTCCACTCAAATATTATTTTAGCATAAAAACCAAATAAAATATTCACTTAAAATAAAATTTTTATGATAACCAGGTTATAAATTATAATTAGTTTTTTTCTAAAATTAATGTAGTAGTTAAAACTCTAGATCTAATTTTATTATATATAATAAAAACTTAAATGTTTTGCACCCACAAAATATATACTTACTTACACAGTTTTTATATAAATATGCATAATTGTTTAAAACATTAAAAAACTTTCTGAAACATGAACTATTAAAAATTTACTAATTGACTATATTTGTACAAGTTCTTATACTCAAATTACATTAAATTTAAATGATTTAAATAAGGACACATATACAAATTTGAATTAGATAATTAGTTCCTGAATTTTGAAACAAGGATGACAAGTTTAAAAAAATATCAATTTACAATATGTACAAATAAAGTTTATTTTTTATGCATATTTTGAAAAATTACTCATTCTTATTACAAAATAATAAAAATTTCAATTTATGTACATATTGGTCAAATATTTTAGCATTATTTTTCATTTAATTTATTTAACATGGGCATTTACAATAGAATCTAGTTATAAAAAACTTTTAATTCTTTTTTCTTCACTGAACGAAAAACTTACGTAAAATCACCTAAGAATCGAGTATAACATACCTAAGAACTTAGGTCGAAATGAGCCAACTTATATCTTGTGTAATATAGCCAAGAAACTTAGGTAAAAAAAAAAATCCAAAATTTAACTAAGTTATATGTTATTCTTACTTAGTTTCTTTGTTGAAATTGAAAATAAAACTTTGTTATATCACCTAAGATAATTACCTAAGTCTTAGGCTGCAAAAAATTTACCTAAGTTTTTTAACTTAAACTTAGGTGATATTTGCTTACGTCACAAAAATGATGATGTATGTACCGAAGTTCTTAGGTAATTGTTGCCTTAGCTTAAGGTAAAAATTAACTTAGTCTATGTCAATTTTGTCTAAAAACTTCGATAAAATTCAACTTTGAACTTTGATAATTCACCTAAGGAACAAAGGTAAATTATTAACCATTTTCTTTGGCAAATCAACTAAATTTCTTTGGTAGGATATTACCTATTTTCTTAGGTAATTTAACTAAAAGACTTTGGTGAAAAATAACTTTTTTCTTAGGTAATTTAATTAAAAGACTTAGGTAAAAAGTAGCTATTTTCTTAGGCAACTAAAATACTAATCTTTGGTAAAATATTACCTTCTTCTTAGGTAACTTTCT